TTGACACAACGATGTAGACCTTGCTGCAATCTGTTTTTCCTTGTTTTAGAATGGAGAACCAACAAAATATTCAGTTTGAAACTCAGGCTTCTCCGAGGCAAACAATAGGTTAACAAAAAATGTTCTGGTAAGCAACGTTGCCTTTGCTAAATGGACTGCCATGGACAAGCATTCTGGGAAACCGAGCATTTTTCGGTAATTCAGTTCGTACGAGCGTATCGAGTAATGCCAGTTTCACAGCTGATCGTGATTCTTGATCTTTATCTCTTACTTAGCCTTGAGTGGTGAACGATAACCGACAATTGATTGTATTTATGTCATTACGAACGGTTCTTCGGACTTTCGTTTCGGACTTCGGTCTTTCGGACTCTATCAGAGTATTAAGGAAAAACTTTGCTGGATTGTACATGCAGATGAAATTTTGTTCTAGCAACGATATACTCACCGATGCTTACGAACAAATGCGACATGCGGCATCCAATCGACCTGTCACTGAAACTGCAGCTCTTGCAGGTGAACTTACCCATCCGAGCAACATGATCTGACGCGAGCATTAAGATAAATTTTTTGTTCTTTTTCGTATAAACAAAAGTCAAGAATTGAGAAAATGATCAGCAGTGACCATCGTAAAGGTCATCTTCGTCAACCGTAAATGGACACTGAGGACAACAGGTATGAACAAGTGATTGCCACAAAACATAAGTACATGCTCTCTCTATGCATCCATTATTTACACATAATAAAACCGTACATATACATATGCTCATGTAGTGTTCATATGGTATTAACAACATTTCAAGCAGCAATTTGCAGATTAGGCTTCTGCATGAGATAGCCTAGTGCTGGGGGTTCTGCCCTGAAAAGCAAGGAAAATGCAGTAGTCAACAAAAACTAAAGAATTTGCCCGTAGCGTGGCGTCCGTCATATGCAATAATGCGTGACCTTGTGTAGATATGAATTTTATAAAGAAGTTCACACGAAAAATATTTGTACAGCGGCATCAATAAGATGTGACACAGGTCGAAACTGCTTGAACCCATCGATGAGTACAGTTATTATATCTATTATTTATTATTATTATATCTAATTATATCTAGAGGCTAAGCATAATATTGGCTTTACATCTAACGTTACATTTAAGTGAAATATTAGCAAATCTTCTAATCAGACGAACTTGTGTTCTTGACTACTATAACTCCTAATAAGCCTTAAATATTTATGTGCAAAACAAGATGCTAATTTGAGAGGAACTATTCCAGTCAAACATTACTATTTGAAAAGCGATTTGATCAAAAAGTTATCAAATCAAGAGGCAACAAGTCGCAGTTTTGCGAAAGGAACCAGCTTCCTACCAGATAGTTTACCATATAGTTACAACATATGTACAATATCAATGAAAAGCTATTGCGCAAAATGCTATATAATTCACAAAAATAATTATTTAAGTGAAAAATAATAATAATAATACGTTGAATTATTGCCATGGTTTTTTAAATAGTATGCTCCATAGCTAATTATTTCCGCAACGTAAAGAAACGCATAACGTTTCCAATGAACAAATGGCTTAGCCTTTGTTTAATGTAATCTGGTTTACTGAAACTCAAAAAATACGCGTATGAGTATACATCTTTGCAAACAAACCACGTGAACTTCTGTAGTAAATTATTATTGTCAACAAAACAGACTCGTGTTTATGTACACATAGACAAACAGGAATGTAAATCTTATATATTTTAACGCTATGCCTGCTACGTCATAACCTGCAAACGACTGAGTCTATTTAAAAATAAATTAACAAAGAATATTGTATTTACTCAAGGTTTGCCATATTATTTTTGTTGGTTGATTAACAACAATGAAGCAGCTTGCTAAGTGGAATTGTCTTGTAGTGAACTTTATTTATAAAATTCACACACATCATCATATACATCTTTCGATCAACCAACATGTGATCTGCGAGTGAGTCATACATAGTTAACCCTAACCTCTAGAGCACAATAGCTTTAAAAGGCTTTATCGTATTAGTATGTATGTCGACTACGTTGGTATCCAATATCCAGGTGAAGCACAGCTCGAAAAACTAGGGGAACTTCAATAAGGCGGACTAGTCTCCATTGAACTCATTCATGAATTCATGATTATTTTAATAATCAGTTTAGAATAATAGATTTGGAAATATATTTTTAAGTTTTGTCAATCTGAAACGTTAAATCTTATACACAGATGTGTCAAACCTCTAAACTACAAATATTTCGATCGAATGGAATGTCTAAATAATTATTTTTGATCTAAAGTTATTACCTTGAAAAATATATGCAAAACAAAATAAAAACGCAACGAATCTCCGAGTACAGCGAATGTTCTAACAGTCGAACTATTTACGTGTACGTCATCTTTTATTTTCAGTTTAACTGATCTTATAAAACGATTCAGAATTACTTTAATAAAAAATATTATCATCACCAAAGAAAGAAGTGGGGGTCTACGTGGTTACCTTGCGGATTGTATCTCACAGACGACACTGGAATCATCACCATTAAGATTCTCCTTCTCGTCTAATCCAAGAGAAACGTAAGTCGCGCAAACATTGGAAACTAGTATATGCTTTTCAACTTCAAAAAATTATTTCGCGTTGGATTCGCAATATGCCAGTAGACGGCACTTGATTTAAAATTCGTCCTTGAATGGCTGTATCCCATTCTACATGGTTGTGATTGTCTCCGGCAATCACTACACGATTTTATTACTTACAGAAATTTGGGGAATGATCGATCAAAAGAACAGCTGCAAATAGTGATACTGCTTCTAGAGTAAACTGGTAAACTTTTTTTTGCCAATTTGAAATTTGCCCAGAGGGTGTTGGAAATGGTGTTCTTAGGTTTCACGAACAATATGGAAGAACATGGTCTGACACCCAGTTCATCATCCACGATAACCCCTTTTTGCATCAAAGCTACGCCAACCAATGTAGCCGACATACGTCGTACAGATCAACCCCACACTGAAAAGGAAGCGTCAAATAGTAAAATATTTACCTCTGTTTACTATGACACAAGCGTAGATGTATTCGATTCATATAAGATGTCATAGGAGATACACTTGTAAGGTCTAAAGTCGCATATTTCTCATTATGCAGTACGACGAAAAGTGTGCTACGTATGTTAGAAATGAGCTGTTTGTATTAAGGCTTATGATCCGACAAACAATACTTTGATAAAATTATATTGAACGAACGTGTAAACACTAATAATGAAGGCCTCTATAAAACAAATCTTTTTCACCCAAGTGCACAGAAGTAACTATAACCACGCAATGCTGACCAACACTTATAAGACCGCTGCTAGGAAGTAGTTTTGGTAACAGCAACGTTAATTCAAAGCCACAAGAAATCGAACGGTGCATACCGTCATTTCAAGAAGAGACGCTCTGAATACAAATCGTTTCTTTATGTAGATCTAAAAGAATACATATAATGATAGCCTATACCATCTGTAATTGTAATAATACATAATTTCTGATAGGCGTTCGGTTGCTATAATGACGTCGTATAGGCGTATGGTGCGAGCCCCCAAGCATTCCGCTGTAGTTCCAATACCTGCATCATGCTTCAGTCATGGAGGTCATCTTCACGGTAAAACTGAGGCAAGCCATATCTACAAAAAGATGCGGAGTTTTCTACCTCGGAATGTTGATAACAAGACCAGCCAAAACAACTGAAATGCTTACGCCACGGAAATTTCTGAGACGAAGTCCACAAACACTATTTATTTGATTAACACGCGAATCTTAAAACAGAATACTTCCTCATTTTTACCCTGTTAATGTAATATTGTTGAATAAGTTTATTGAAACTAGATTTGATGGTCTGTTAGAGAAACAATTGGCCACATACCTAAGAGGTTTATATAAAATAGTTATTTTAGCTAGAATACACCCTGATCTGAAGGGTGGGGCTTAGTTTCTAATCTTTTCATTTGACGGTGCATAGAATAATCGAAAAATCAGTTTCCCTGTAGTCTTTGCTCTGTATTTCTAGAGTTCGCCGAAAGCTTAATTTTATTTCCAGGAACCGTTCTATTTATTAGGCTCAAAAACGTTGAAATGATAACAAATTCTGTCAAGCAGTGCGCAAATTAAACTGTTAAGGGCATGCTAAGTTTTAGTGATTAACAGTTTTATATTAGCTCGCGGAGATGAATGCTCAGTATGTCCAAAATACATTCTGCTAAGTTGATGGTTTTTTACGACAATTGGCAGTATAGCCTAATAGCGGTCAGCAGTTGGTCAAAAAGCTATGTTATTTCTTACAGTGTCGTGAAAGCCATCAAAATTTGTCATATAGCACAGAGCTGTTCGAGAGGTGAAATACGAAGTTTAGATCCATTATGTGCTGATTGTCTTTCCTTCCTGGGAGCATGGACTGTGAAAACACCGTGCTACATTATTTTAATTGTCGACTAACAGTTTGCGTCCATCTCAACAAATAGAGACCAAGGTTTCGTAAGAACTAGTTGAAATGAAGATACCAAACGTTCGTACAAACCGCTAAATCCTATTAGTATTATGGTGTTAACAAACCTAGAGTGAGTTAAGCTTTGCTGTATAGTTTGAAAAGATGGGAGTGAAAAATTACTTGTTCAATGAACTAGGATCGAACAATTGAGAACAGCGAACAGTTATAAGCAGTTGTTTTTATCCAATATTAATTCCTACGATCTGAGTACACCTTCGTGCGGCGATGTTTTTTCCGCCTGAAACTTGATTTACTTATACAGGCGACTAACAACAGCATCAATCTGAATCTGGTTTTTCAAGTACCCCATAAATTTAACATCTAAATCTGGTTTTTCAAGTACCCCATAAATTTAACGACAAGGATTTCTACCAACTAACAAAGCGCTATCAGACACATAATTTCGCTAACAGCTATGTGAATTCTTAATTTTCAGGTGAAATAAAAAAGTGGAAAACACTTCTTTTTAAACTAGAAAGAACTATTATCCTAGACGTAACGCCAAGAATTTATTCTTTCTGATAGCAAGCAGAGTCATTGAATCCTGCAGAGCTACACAAGTCAAAAGCTTGATGCCAACCAACCCACCACATGGCGAGTACGTTACAAATTGTAAGTTTGACATTGTACTTAGTCGTACGCTGAAAAGTATATCAAGTCGGCTAATATTTCAGTAAGACATCGGCTTACTGTTGATGTAAATCAAATTATTCATTGAAAAAATACAATCAAAATATGCTACATAGAAATATATATATTCCTATGATGTTAAATTTATATATAAATTTAACATCATAGAGTATGTATTAGATATTTCCTCCCCTCCCCTAAAGGAGTGTAATATACAAGGGAGTGCGCCAATACTTTTTGGCTAAATTGCTTCGTAAGTAACTATGTCCGCCTAACTTTTGCCTGCTGGCCGATATACGCCAACGACCACCGCATGATCCCGCTCATACGGTTCAAGGGTAATCTGTTCCTGAGGCTTGAATTTCTCCGATTTCAACTTTTCAACTTCGCCGGCAAACACTGCTTCCGGTTCGGCTGTGGAGTCGATACAGTTCGCCTTGATTGAGATCACAAAGTGTCCACCGTTTTTTAGGAAGTTATGCGCATTAATGGCAACAATACGAGCCTGGTCCGGCTGGGCAACGTCAGCGAAGATACAGTCAACCATGCCGACAAGCATCCTGTATTTGTGTGGGTGGCGGGCATCCTCAATAATGGGTATAACGTTGGTACGCTTTTGAGCCACACCTATAATAAGAGAATTTTGATTAAAATGTTTTGATTTTTTTTTAAACTACTGGTACAAATTTAATATTTCGTTTGTCTTTAGGCTAAGCGTGCCCAAAAACTCACTAATCTATGGATTTTTCAGTTAAAAACAACAAGCTGAATTAAACAGTCGATTATAAAATCGTTGAAAAATATGCAAGACAGTTTGCATAATACAATTGAAAAATAAAAAATAAAACGTACTGTATAAGAAAGTAAAAAATACAAGTTATGATTTAGTAATCTCAACTCACCTATTAGATCACGTCCTGAACGGTGTGAGAACTCGACGGCATAAACGAGACCTTCAGACCCTACAACATCAGCAACATGCGATACTGTCGTACCTGAGGCAGCTCCCAGATACAGAACCTTCGATCCTGGCGGCATGTGGATTTGGTCAACGCCACCCAAAATCGCGGCAGCCAGCTTAGAACGAAAAGGATTCCACACGCGATACTCGACTTTCTCATCGCCATCTTCGACCGAAATGCGTTTCTCGTTGTAGACCGATTCACCTGGCACAAGATTCTTCGTAACAAGTACATCTTCTTTACCGCGACCAATAAATACACCGGGGTGGCGATGAGGCTCGATGATGACTTTTTTGCCCCCCTTGAAACCTCCTGCTCCTCCTCCACGACCTCCACGGCCTCCACCACGACCGCCTCCACCGCGACCTCCTCCACCTCTTCCGCCCCGGAAGCCACTATTTTTAAAACCCCCACGATCTCCGCCACCCCCACCACGACCTCCTCTGAAGCCTCCGCGGTCGCCGCCACCACGACCTCCACGAAAGCCTCCACGGCTACCGCCGCGATCACCACCACCTCGACCGCCACCTCGACCGCCACGGAAACCGCCTCCGCCCCCACCGAAACCTCCTGGAAGTGTGTGACGAACATCGTATAACGAACTTCAGTGCTAGAAGTAGGCTTAATTGAATGAAAAAGATCAAAAAACGTAGCTGTAATGCGTAGTGTGCAAGTAGGTAACAGATCTTAAATCTTTTGTTAAATAAAGAAACATGGAATGGTTATACATGAGCAATAAATGAAAAGCGGTATTTCAAGATACTTAGTACGACACAAACGAAAAAGTCCATTAATGTCTCGGTCGTTCATCTGTTCAACAGATAAACGCCTGACACGCTTCAGTTGTCGACTTTTTTTATGATTACGTCTCAAAAATGCATGAAGGACTGTTTTAATGTTCTTCTGACGAGATACGGCCAAATAAAATACACATAATCCGCGTAATTTGAATGTGTTCTTCTGATAATGACATATAGCAATTGTATAGAAAAACCGTTGTGCAAATAATGTCAAGTAACAATAAACATTCAACAATGGGACGACTATGTACAGTAGTTCTTTTCGTTTCCTTTTAGCAAGCGAATCCAATAAGCTGAACTAGTAATCTTAAAGCGAATTTAAGTAGAAACCTACAATTCGATTGCAGGCTTAACTGGCTCCAACAAGGATACATTTGAACATTCAAAATGGTATTTGTACATGTGTGAAACAAAAACGATAAAGTAGTTTAATTCTACAGATTAACGTCAACCGTGTCATAGCTCTAGACAAACATACACAAAACCAGCATAAACACTCTGCTCGCGTCTCATGTGCCTCGGCATCCCGCTATTCTGAGCTGATAAAAACATGTTGTCTTTTGAAAAACGTTGCCAGTCTCTGGAAGAACGAACGCACGCTCACTTACCTTTTCCGCCGCGTCCTGGAAATCCCATATTTGCTAACTCTGATCCGAGTCTATAAATAGTCAGACACTGAAGATGTATGTGTTAAACTAACCCTAAAAAGATAAATCTTTTTTGAAATCCTTGGCTTTTCACAGAAACTCTTGTGTACAAGGCGAGCACCGCGCAGAAATAGAACAGCTCCCACGTGCTCACAACAAATAAAAACCACTCACAGTTCCGTTCACTGTGCTGCCGCCTGCCGCGAGGAGCGCGCCAAAATTTGACCTTTTATCAAGAACAACAACCATTAGCCCGTAGGGTTCGCTTATATGTGCCTCGCCAGATATTAGTGATAACATCATACATTATACGTTATTTTTGTTGTACAAATTATGGACGTTGCATTAGACTATTACAAGCGAATCCGGCGGATCTTGGTATCGAATAATTTTAAGTACGTGCCACTAGCAGACGAAATTTGGTTGGTAAATATCCAAATCTTCTGGGAACTTGTAAGTATAAGACAGTTAATTTAAATTAACTTTACTCAACTATACAAGCCCTAAGGCCGCATCCGCTTGAAGAAACTGAGATCATTAAGAATTAACTGACAGTTTCATGTAACATAACTAAAATATAGCAACAACAAAATCAGTATCGACAACAAAATACTGCGAGCAATGCCCAATAATTCTCAGTAATTCTAGTGGAATACTTCGTGGTTTTCTATGTAACGTATATAGGGTGGAAATGAGTTGCAAATTTATCTGTGTAATAAGTCAGTGAATTCATTACGTAGTTTCTGTGCTGAGTTGATAAACTTCGCAGCATCCTATGATTATCATTCAGAGGATATCAAACAGGCCGGTGCTGACCGAGATTAGGCGTAATTCAGTCAGTTGGATGTGTACGCAAGTTATTTTCTCCAGGAAAAATAAATTCAGAAAAAAGATATCTTTTAGTATCGAAAATCAACGCTCAGTGGCCAAGTGGTTGTTGCACAGAAGTCGCAGTGCTGCAGAAAATTCATCGAAAATAAATGAGACGTTACGACAAGGAGGCCTTAAGTGAAAGCACAGTACATGTATGGTGCATATATTCTTAGAAAGGAGATTGGTGTGTTGAAGACCAAAGAGGTGTTCCCTGGTAAATATTTGTATATCTAGAAGCTGCCAGAGCGCTGAGACAAATGTGCGGAAAACAAAAAAGGGTACCTCCAACTCATATAAAGGAAATCGTCATCCTAGTCACACTTCTTCAAAATTTATTCAGTTTTAAAGTCCGCCATCTTCGCTTATGGTAGCCTAATAGGTTGGCATTATTTTTCGTATTTATATAAAAGGGAGAGGATGAATAATGGAACTTGATTACTAACCTCTTTTTGGCTTCGGTTGGTTTCAGTCGACGGCTCCTACTTCGACTGATGATCTATGCTGAAAAGTCGCGCACATAAAAGAGATTCGGCAGAACAAAACAAACTGTATCTCATTCACTAAAATCCCAAATGGTGATCGCCTCCCAACTAACCAGCCGGTGTTAAACGGTCATAACATGCGGTCGGTAAACATGCGGTCATCATTGGATCGGCTAACATCTGTACGCAGTGGACTATCTCATCTCATGGACAATGCGAAGGACTAAACCTTTTCGAGGCATCGCGCGGAGTATCTAGTTGCTTAATGCTCCATATAGAAAAGTAGGAAAATTGTTGTATCAGTTAGCTGCAACGCGCAATCATAGGGCAGACTAGAGTACATACTTCATACACTATAAAGGCAAGGTATTGTAGATAATTCATATATATATATATATACATTATTAATGTGTATTAATAATTAAATTGCAGTGAAACCCAACGTGTAGCGCTGCTACGGGTAAACGATCTGAGATGCGAGCAGTTGAAATGGGATACTATCACGATAATAGTGGTGAGAAGTTTGCAATCAGAAACAATGATTCTTCATTGAATCGTATCGATCACTCAAGATTTCTCAACAACATGCCTTGGGCGGTGAACGTCCAAAGACTTTGCGAGAGTGGCTGGCATAGCAGAACGCTTCGAAGATAACTAAAACAACTTCAAATGCCAGTCAGCAGTTCCATGAACTGATTTGCGTCCATTTTTAGTGCATCGACCGCAATGGAATTTGGCCGGCTTTTGGCAAAACTGGCGCTCGGGCATCAACGGTCGGCATGGCGCACTTTGCTTATCCTTGTCATATCAGTGAACTTTATAGCTATCCTTATCATGTGGTTTTCACTTGATCGTCGCTGTCAGTCCCTCTCTAATTTGCCAATCGAGGTAAGTTCAATGCAACCTGGAATGGTCGTACGCGCCTGGTAAAAAAAATTACTCAGGTTCTTTATTATTATATGCATTAGTAAAGCGCGTATGACATTCCATGGCAAAATATATAAAATTTCTTTGAATCCGTTGCCATTTTTTGTAAATATGACATATAATGCAATGCAGTATATGTCATATATACCTAATTTTTCCCTTCAAATTAAAGTAAGATCAAGGATAATGAGATAGGTATCCCAGAGAAAGGTTAGTTTGATTACCCTTTTAAAGGGTAGCGGTTTTTTATGACATACATATATATATATATATATGCTTGTCATGTCTCGTTATGTGTTGAACGACTGTGCTCTCTTTTCTAATAAAACTGGAATGGTATACATACTTATTTTAGATTTCTTCAATTTAAAACACGATGTGCTATTAGTCGTTACAAACATGTTTAAATTGCAACTCAATTAATTTACTTCGAAACCTCGGTTTGTCGTTAATTTTGGTTAAGTAGATACTCGTACCAAATATCCGAACAAAAAAATCTATTCGCTATAATTACCTAGATGATGACTAGAATTGATTCTAATTATTTTTGTTTATTTTCTTATCATAAAGAAATTGCAGGTAGTCGCGCAGCCAATGAAAATCGATAAAATGGCGTTGTTTCAGCGAGCTTTCGACCTCCCGAATCAAATGGTGACCGTCATCTTTCGAGAGTTTGAGCCATACAACCACGACCTCGAAGAGACGGCACTTTCTTTTCATTCAATATTCTCTCGTATGAAAATGCTGATCGTCTCCGACAGTGTGCTCTATCCGCCTGTTCGCAATTTACCCCTAATGGCGGAAACCATTCGCCTGGAAAAATATCTCACGGACCTACCCAATGCAACAGTGTCAGTGCGCGTGAAAACCGACTACGTCCTTTTGGTACCTGATAACGTGCGTTTGACCCAGCCCGCCGTGTTAACCGAATTAGTCAAGTTACTCATCAGTCAACCTGATCGTATGGCCGCAGTTTCCGTGGGCGGGGCCTTCCTTGTAGATTGCCTAAGCCTGCAGGTAGACTCGCGCCAATGGACACTGAAGTATCAAAACCGGGAAAAATCTGCCAACTCATGGACGTTGTGTGATGCAATTTCCGGTGAGCACGTATTGCTCATGTCCACTGCACTTTTGTTCTCTCTTCCGTTTCCCCTGGAACGACCGCTCTTTGACTCGATCTATGTGCAGACAGCACAGCGCGGTATACAAGTCCTGCTGATTGGAGATTTGCAAATCACCAAGCCAGTCTTTCGGTTGTTTCAGACAAAGCATTTAATCGACAAGCGTGACCAGTACCAAGAGTATAGAAAGAGGGCGCTCTATGATAAGCTTGGCATTAAGAAAGTGCAAAGAAACGGGTCGCACGTAGAGTGGTACGGGTGTAGTAAAAATACGCAAAGATGCTTTGGCACGATTCATGGAGACACACCTGAATATTTGTTCAAAGTAAGAAAATCATGTAACGATCTATTTATACGAAGTGTAACAATGAGGGGAGAGGAGACCTATAGGTAAATTTACTCGTTAAAGGTTATCGGTTATTATTTGTATAATTAAAAATGTGTTCGACTTTTATCGTTGATATTTGGTTTTTTAATCTCGTTTCCACTTTCGTTCTACGTAATTTCTTCGCTAGATGACCGTTGGTGTGGAAAAACAGTACTGCTAGTCTCAAATGGCAGAATCAGTATGCCTTCAATCGAATGCAGTTGTTACACTGATAGGCATTTAGACAATGTCAACTGGGCTGTCACGATGCAAGATGTTCCCTTTTCATACTAACCTCACGGACGCTTTTTATTCAAAGGGCAGATGGACCCCACCGTGTTGTCTAGACAACTTGCGCATCACCGCTCGTCACGTGTTCTCGGTGCTGGAGGCGGCCAATGTTCGCTATTGGCTTGAAGGGGGATCGTTGTTGGGAGCTGCTAGAAACGGAGATATCATCCCCTGGGACTATGACGTAGATATCGGTATGAATTAATTTTGTGACTTACAATCATGTTTTCAAACTGGGAGATATCACGGTACTCTATATTTTGTTAGGAGAAATTGGGACTAGCAGTATATAGTCTCCTACAGCAATGGCTAGACATCGGCCTATTGTAAGATTGTAAACTGTGTAGCATTTCCATATCTTTTTATTTTTGAGTGCGAGGAAACCTTTGAATTAGCGCTTTTGTGCACCATAGATTAAATAGTGTGATGCACACATATACACAACTAACCTATAAATTTGCGACGTACGTGACTCTTGTAGGAATCTATGAAGAGGACATAGTCAAATGCAGCTGGCTTGCTAACGTCGTTGAGATATTTAAAAAGTCGAACCCGAAAATGGCCGGACGGAGGTCAGGACTGCGTGACCCCCAGGGATTCGTATGGGAGCACTCAGTGTCATCGGAAGGTACTTTCCTACGGGTGCAATACTCGGAAACTAATCGTGTACACGTTGACATATTCCCGTTTCGCTCAAACGATGGCGTAATGACCAAGGATACGTGGTTTAAAAATCACCCACAGGACCGGGAATTTCCGGAAGCATTCCTCAAGCCTCTAACAAGAATAAAGTTTGCGGGGACGTACGCTTCAGCCCCTAATAATGTGACACGGTTCCTTGAGTTTAAATTCGGCAAGGGTGTTCTGGAAAATCCTCAGTACCCTAATCCAGATTTGTTGGTGTTAAAAACCAAATCCTGATACGAATTTTGAAATAGCCATTCAAATGTGAAAATGGTAACGACTTTGTATATACATTTGAAGTGTTTTACAGCCGACTGTTTTGGAACAGGTACTGTTCTCTATTCTTCAAGGCATCGGACTTCGGAAGTGAATTTGTGCTCGTAGCGAGACTTTGTACAATATTGTGTAGCGATACTAAATAAGTAGGACCGATTATATCACCGAGTATGTCTCAGTTTAACGAGGTTCCGTGCAAACATGCTAAATAAACAAGACTGGGTAAGATGAAATGGACTAATTATTTGTGCTAGTGTCAAAAGTGTAAATTTTAAAGGAGAGTATGATATAAGAACCATTATGCGCAGTCCAAAAAGGAAGTAGCGCTTAAACGTCAATTTAAGATAAATATACGTGATTTGCTGAGTTACAGAAATCGGCTTGTTGGCATTTCGTCGAATTGCTTCTTATTATTCAAACATTGGACGTGTCAGTTGTAGACATATGTAAAGTTAAACACATCGTAACTTAAGTGAAATAACGCTGATCAAAAGCCCAGAAGCCGTCCAGGCCGACCCATCTCGATCCATGCACATCGTCGAAACGTACGCCAAAAAATGGTTCGACTTCCTGGGAGTGGTGTCGTCCTGCAGTAGATGTCCAGATGCATTTCAAGACCAGTCATAAACACCTTACAATTACGAGGTTGGCAATACTGGCTTTATTATCATACAGTTTTTACCTGACTTGCGTCCGGGTATCTTCATAATGCGCCTTGCAACGCATAGCAATAACGAGCTGTGACATTCGGCTGTACTCGGTTATTATCTACTATATGACAGCTGTATTCCGTATTGTTCTGTAGCTTTTCTTAGAAAATAAAAAGTATTAATAACCTAGCATGAATTTGGGTACGCAAGCTTCGTAGTCTTTGTGAAATGAATTTACCATGATGAGCTATCGAAGTCCCTTAAAAGTTCGAGTTAGACATAAGCTTTACATTCAAAAATTACTTCTAACACATACGAATGCAGTGTTGTTCTAATGAATAACTAGTCTATAATAGTATAAATAGACTTATTATTAATAGAAACAGTGTGAAAGTTTATTTACAAAACGACTGATAGCCAGACGCCCATGCGTATATATACCTTATCAACATAAATCTACTTTATTACTTTTGTATTATATATATAAACAACTGTCACGGTCAAGAACTAAGCTGTCTATCTGCTCCTATAACGTAGTGACGTATGTAACAGTGTTCAGGTTGATTAGTTTATACGGACGATCCCTGAGTGATCCAAAAGCCACGAAAAATTGACGCAAGATGGAAACAAAAAGATGCTGCTGCTAACATGTTAGGTATATGCCTTCAAATATCCAGCTACTAACATAACGGTAAAGAATGGCAAGTTTTCATATCACATCTTGGGAATATAGACACACATTATGTAATTCGGTTGATACCTTTGCATTGGATATTTGTTAGCAGAATAATAATAAATGCTTTAAGTAATTTCTCAATAAAAGGTGACGACGCCTAGAGATCAACCAGTCAAGTGTTATATCACACAATTTTGATCTTGGTGGAGATTGCCCAGGTTCCTAAAATTAAGCTCGGTGTGAATACTGCTAAATGCAGGCTCTTGAGTGAGATAATCAACTGCCTTTTTTCTTGGCACGAAAATTACAAATCATATGTCTGTCTCATCATTGAACGGGCGAACAAACTATTAACGCACGCTATATATAGCCTTAATTAATTAATTCTATGCAATGTATAATGGCTCCATCGCAAACAATATTCTTGTTTTTACTACTTTTTCGGAGGCAGCCAGATATTGTAAACGTGATGTGATCAGATGATTAATGATTTGAAACATTTTAATAGCATGGCTCAGTAGAGATAATACAGGTCGGTGCAGCTTGTAAAGCCCCATTGTGCTGAGTGAAAGGATTATTTTTTGAGCGATAAACTATGTGTATCGATTTTGTGCTAGATATAAGCCTTCGATAATTGTTAATTTGATACAACCTCGACAATACCTTTCCCATTAATACGTCTTAAACTTCTTTGATCATTTTACTGTACAGTACTATGTTAAACACATAGTATGGGTGTAAAATGGAGACGTTTGTAGATCTTAATGTATCGAGTAAGTCCGATAGGGGAGGTTCTATTTACTGCTTAATGAAAATGTTTTGCATTTAGTCCTTAAGCTGTTAAATGTAGCTTAAGATGGCTATTAACTCTTGGATAAACATATACAATTCATAATATATTTCTCTAATTTCGTACCACGATGATCTTTTGCTAAAATTCCGTTAAGCAATATTCTGTGTATGTGTTGGCTACACTGTACTATACTGTACTATGAATGTGTCATAAATTCTGTTCAAGCTTTTGTCGTCTCATTTCATCATTAAATTTGTCATACATCAAGCAGACTATGTACAAACCGGTCAAGTACAGTAATCAGCATAAAGAATATTAAAATGGCAGGGTAGCCGATGTAAATTGGCATGCCAAATGCTCGGAGTGTCACTACTTGAGTACCTCTGGGCCGTGCTGAATTATCGGTGTTACAGAAGGTTTCATTGCAGCAAGATGTGCATAGATGAAGCTTGTGACGCTCGCCGACAACGACGCAATCCGGTTCACATTTATTTGCACAGGCGCGTTCGATCGAGTGTGTTCGTACACCTGTGGCCTGATCGGAGGTGTCCAGTCGATAAACCTATTGGAGGATTGCATATCAAGGCGCCCAGAGAGGTAACAAAAATAGTTACAAACGACACAGAAAAATACCCGCCAACACAAAAAATGAAACCCCCCGTCTCAGTTAATGAAACTTTAGTCAAGGGAGTTCTAAACAATGCGCGATACGCAATGTTGTGTATTCCCGGTCGCAGCGACCCTCGCCCATATCAGCAGCGTCGTGACACGTGAATATTTACCAGTTATATAGAAAGATTCCGGTGAATTTTGATTACTTCATAGCAATATTCGAGCGCCTACAAAGAGAGCTCGATGTCAGTGATACAGCTAGCAAGATGCTTACCGCGCATCCTCCTCCGTTAGCTATGCTTTGACTGCATGTCTGGAAGGTCACGTTGTACTGTGACGCATTGTAGCATGCCGCGCCGTCTATTTCCGAGTGACACTTATAGCATGAAATGTTCTTCATCGAAGGATATATTGGTTCACCAGTTTTTCTACTGCCAACAGCCCAACAAGTGTTACCTGCGTCGAAGTGAAAAATTGTACAGAAAGTCAAGTCGCTTGCCAACATCGGGCGGGCATTAAATTACGATATAAGCACTGTATTAGATGAAATTGAATGTTGGGCATCTACATCGGTGTTGCTAAAAGAAAACTGGAAAGGAACGACCTCTAGAGTTTTGACGAAAGAGTTCTTTCACGAGAAGTTGCCATGCCTTCTGAACGTTCGTACTGACCACCAAAATGTAAAATAGATGGTGCGAGCAAATCATCTACTTACATAAAACGCTTGCTTATCATAAATGGATTCCACAAAAGACGATAAGGTTACATATATCCGTTGTATGTAATTACTAATCTACGATCAGTATGTTTATTTAGTATCTCTAGCCAGACCATTTTCCCACTGGAACTCTTATTTAATTTGCGCTGGAAGAAGAGGCTCACACAAAGGTAATTTATGATGTGAGCTGTGCTAAAATTTCGAATAGATCAGAGCGGCACATAAATTAGCTTGAAAGCTAGCTCGGTAGAATATCTAGAGCTCAAGTGATACGGATACATACGGATCAAGTGATTTTAAGAAATGCCCTAAAAGAATAGCGTCTAAAATGCTTAGTTTTCACCTTAGACACTACATCAAGGTAGTTGTTTTGTTAATTAGTGAGGCCTCACAATGAAAGCTGAATTAGTGGTGCAACGGGATGAAGCGTCCAACAACAACAAAGATACTTGGGAGCAAGAGTAACATCCTCGAGAAGATAAATCGGAGTGCGGCTGACCTGTTTTGTTCCGTTACATAAGGCTCCACTCTACGGTTCAGCCTATTATTTCTTTTTTAGAACTACATGACGCGAAAAAGTCATTTACGTTATGGTAATACTTAAAGGGTAGGTGTACTGTATTTGTCCACAGGCAACGAAATCCATTGTGGCTTTTGAAGCAATCTGCCATGTGTACCATCGCAAATATAAAAAAAAATGTTTATCCATCTAAAAAAAGGAATAACTTACAACCGTTTACCTGCAGCCTATTCTCAAGTCAAACCTTTTTATGCCCGTAGAATTTTGTATCAAAGTAAACATTTAAGTTCATAGCTTCACGTTATGAGATATCTCATCTATCGAAGAAACGCCTGGCTGTTGGAAATTATATTTTACGGTGCATCTTTACGTACAAAAACGCTAAAGAATTGTTGTTGTATTTGCATATCGTCTACGGAATACGCGTTGTGCTAGCACGAGTACAATCAGGTAGAAAGGCTCGTGTTTAGATATATAATAGTGGGTCATAAGGTGACCAAATCAATCGTGGTACCTTGTGTAACTCAACCCTTTACCTGCATTGGAATACATTGGTTTGGTTCCATAAAAACGGAAGAAATTAGTGTACTTTGGTGGCACAAGCCAAGCATTAGGTTTCCCATTATTTTTATTTGTTGTTATATCTTTATCGATAGCTTTGGAAAGTCTAATAGTCGATATCTGGCATAAATATTTTTGGTGCTCTACAGTATAGAAAACGACAATACTCGCTGAAGATTAGGACATAGCTTGGCATCCTCTTCTCGTATATTATGAGAGCCTCTGTTTTGTCTTTCTTAGTTACAAGACTGTATTAAGTAGACTCACTTCATCAATTCTGTTTTGTCGATAATTTCATAGCGCGTTGCTTTTTCAAGTGGTCCTGTTCGGTTTTCGTCGTCTCATTATGGCAACACAGCATACATGTTGGGAACTTTCTCTCTTGAACATGACAAACCATGATGTTATTTTGGCCATCTAGTTCGCTGTAAGCATGGCAACAAAAAATGCTGATTTTCCTACCTTGTGATGTATAGCTTTATGTAGGCGTCTATAGCGCAATCCAAGTGGCATTAGTCAAGCGTTTCGCACAAATCAGCTTGGGAAAGCATATAGGTAGGATGAAGCAAGATGTACGTTACTTACCTAAGAAGCTGAACAAAATGAGTAATGGCACTGATGTGACACATCCTCCGAGTCGTCCAGGGCCTTGTTTAAAGAAATCTGTTGACAGGGTTGCCATTTTTACACTGAACAGCAGGCAAGGCCTGACAGATGGCTGTTTAATAACAAACACTCGGCTGGTGATTTTGAAGTTATTTTCCACCACGCCGTGAGTATCCGTTACGTAAGTGAATGCGACATCGAGTTATATAGCCAAATATTGCCTAGAGTGGTTGCGTTGTGAATAACAGCAAAAAAAAAAAACAGAGAGACGTGTAAGAAAAGAAGCAGTAGCGTGGTGCTTCTTCCAAGATGGTTCTATAAGGGGTGGTAAGTATTGTTGTGTAAATGTTGTCTCTGTGCATGTGCGTCCCAAGGAGGTGAGCGTCGAGGAGTTGGGCAGTTCTCCAATGAGGCGCAGATGGAGATCCCTGCCGGGTGCGCGGCCCTTTTGAACAACTATGTGGATTGTGAGAGGAATGGGTTATGTGTCTCCATGGAGGAGCGCAAGGGGGGCCGGCAGGAGAAGGCAACGTGTGTTAGTCACTCGCCCGATAAGTAGCAGAAGGAAGGGTGCTTTGTCCGTCAGAAACAGAGCAGACAATATTTCGGTCTGCGCCAGTCTTAATGCTCCTTACTGCTCTAAGGTAACTTCAACATACATAATGGGTCCTGCGCCCAAAGAGGCTCGCCGTTTGAACACGGAGTGTTATCAAACTGCTATGAAAAGAGTAGACTGAGCGGCATGCTGTGGCGCTGCTGCGGTTGAGAGGACTACAGTCGCCTTTTGCCAAGTATACTTCCCCGTCCTGTAAGTCTTCATAAACACACTTATGCCGTCCGATTAGATTTACTATGTATATATTTTCCATGGCGGTCTAAGACCCACCAGTAACTCAATTTCAAACATTTAGGCTTGAGATGAAAAAACAAAGCGCTGGCCCATGTATGTAGCTGTGCATCTTCCAGTGTTGTTATTGTCGTGGTGAAGTTATAGGATGTGATCCTTCCAAACAGCTAAAACTTTGGATCGGTGTTCAGATAAAAACAATGAATTTGTAAGCGTGCTGCAACCATGTACGAATTCATCCTTTGGTGTGACCTAGAAATTAAAAAAGTTTTCCATGGTTTGTATGAGAACTTGAGCATCGTTATAGTAAACAAGAAATAAGACAAAAATTTACGTAGAATTTACTAAGTGCACTTTAATATATTTTTATGTAGATGAACACAATTACGGAAACAAATTATAGCACAATAGGAACTAAGTTACATCTTAACCTTTGTGTGTAGTTGTCATGAATGTGGTTGTCGCTAGTGGCTGTTTAAGCAGCCATTTTAATAACTAAAAACTAGGAATTGTTAGTTAATATCTATGAACAGGCCATTTAAAACTAGTTTACGACTTTCGATTGTGCCGTAACACGCAAGATCTATCACCATGTTCATAATGAATAATAGCTCCCACGATTTTTCTTGGTGTTGTTTGTTCTATGGTTAAAAAGCTTGGAAGCGATGGATTTCGCCCAGTATACCGTTCTGTTCGTCCTGGTTCAGTACAAGTAGGACGTATCTTGTCTAATGGGGAGATGATGGCAACACGGGTTTTTTTCCAGACAGCATATTCAGGTTACAAGCTTCAGCTTATTCTGAGGTAAGGAACAAAGCTACAAAGAGCTATTATAGCGACTCGTATGCCTAATTGTAGCCGCTAATGACACATTATCGTTCAGTAAAATCTTTTGTCTGCCATTTTCCGAATCGGCTATGGAAGTTCCAATGATTTAAGCCGAATTAAAGTTGAAACACGAATTGTAATTTGTAAATGTATATAAAGCTCTTAATGAAATTTTAAAAGAGACAGTTGACATTCAAATAAGATTACCGTGTCCGGATAAAAGGGACTTTTGTTACGAATTGTAACAAGCATAATTAAATTTCGTACTTCTCAATTCGGTCATAAAGAGCTTCGCCTATGTAACCTATTTATCTCGTTGCTTTATAGTAACTTGATAAGTTGCTAGAATTGTTGTTGGTTAATAGAAAAAAAAAAAAAAAAACTATGCAAATAACACGTAGTCCATCGATTAATTATGAACACCAAAGTAATAGTTGATCAGGCAAGCTGCAATCAAAAATTGTTCAGCGTATGTGTGGTGCTGAGAAGTTTCCACTCCTAACCTGTTGAACACAAATTAGTCTATTAGCCTGGCAGTTACTTGCAATATATTATATGACACCTCTAAACGCACTGTATGAATTGTAGTGTTCAGCTTCTCTAACTAACTACACTGTAGCATCTATTAATATGGCAGGACCGTTATAATTATTATTACAGGAAACCCACATCAACTATGCAAGGACGCACTGTTTACTTTGGACAAGTGAATTAAAGAACATAGTAGTTAATATGAAAGCAGCCGTTCCATGGTTGTGCTTAAGTATATCAATATCGTACAAAAGCTATGGCATCGTTTGCTCTTCGGAAGCTGGCCCACCGTCCCCACAATCGAACCGTCTTTTCGAAGTATGAGGCGCTCAGCGAAGCAGAGGGAGAAATATCGTCGTGAATGCTTCAGTTATCTTCATCTAGCGGAAGTCCTTTTTCCTTTTATTAGTATATGTACAACATCCACCGGGACAATGATGGACTATGGTAGGCGTAACAAAAATATAAATATTTCTATTTTAGCTGATACCGCTTTATACCTCAAAACGCACTGTTTACGAAGGAAAACCTCTCTTGAGGACCGCCGTATAATTTGTTATCTAACATTTGGTTTCTTCAGCATTTTAGTGGCTTTATGTTTAGCTGCGCACAGCATGAAGGAACAACCGCTGATGTTGTCTCCTGAGTGTGCTCGGCCACCGAACAGGGAGAGTTATTATGAAAGGACGATTTAAATGAAAGGTTAACCAAATGCATTGAAACAATCAGCGCAATTTTTTGTGCCTAACGCAGTTAGTGCTTTGCGGGATGCATTTTTCACGTGTCTGATGTACAACTCGAATAAAAGAAACTTGGTCAAAATAGCTTTTAATCTTCCATTAGATAATATCAAAGTGCTGTCTTCTCTTGCTGCGATTTTGTCACCCCGGAAAACCTACGTATGTTCCCAGCAAAACCACATTTCATGACGAGATAGTGCTTCCGCAGTTGCATCCTTTTCTTTTTCTCCTTTTTTCGTAAAGACGGCTTCTTTTTCCTAAGAGGATGTTCTGTCCTTACACCTGTATATCCACAGCGACCCGCATCTCTGGGAAGAGCCTGGCGATTTTTGTTTCAAATAATTTCTCAAAAGTTGTTGACCTTATTCCACAACAGGGTCTGTGCCTTGGACCGTGCGCGGACTTCCAGTCGCCGTTAACAATAACGCTTACAGCCAATGAATAGGAGTAAAAAGTTCTGATCCGCAACCGACGTTACAAGTCGTGCTCGTTATCTATAGTAGGTTTTGTTTAAATGGGGATAGAAGATATATCTTATACCATATATATATATATGGTAAACTCTTCTATATATATATATATATATATATATATATATATATATATATATATATATATAGCCTCTGTAGTGGATAGTGAGTACCTAACACTTATAAATGCTCTAGGAGGGTGAACGTTGTAAAAAGTATAAATAAATAGAGAAAATCTTGGATATTTTAATTGTTAGTAAGGATGTTTTCCTTTTTCATATTGTATGCTCCAATTCATTGTCTATAGTAAACTAAATGACTCGATTCTGTTCAGGTAAAGCATGTTTAATTTGAGATAAATGTGGGCCGAGCAAACAATGTGTGCTCCTTGGCCCCTCTCTATTCCTAATACTGTATTGGTTCAAATGAAATATATCATCCAGCCATAACTTTTCCTAACCTTCATCCGCACATTTAAAGACTTTCCTATTGGCCATATGCCTTTACGTGTACATACTGTGAATGAAAATTCAGCTAATGACTTATCGCATTTGTTCTATTTACGTTCTAGACGAAATCAATGATACTGTGTCTACTAGCGTACACTTATTAATGTAATTTTTCTTTATTAGAGTTTAGCGGTTGCCTTTTCCGGTAAATATATAAATCACATTAATTACGGCGGTAGTTGCGGCTTTGAGAAGGTTCGACAATCGAAAATTTATTCCTCCGAGCTTTATCTAAACTTTAATTTTGCTCGACTACGTCAAAAATGGTCGATCATTTATTTGGTAGCGTTAATCGATCCAATTTTATACTAACTTTTCTTTAGATTTTCAAAAATCTACATATATGAATCAGTTCACCTCAGAACTTGTCATTTAGGTATCAGAGGAAGCTGCTCTGCTGCTCGAGCCGTCTTCTGCGCACGTTCGCAATCTGCCTCCTTTTCCCCCTACCTTCATGCATGCAACCACCGCTCCATAAGGTAAACCCTATGGAGCGGTGGTCGCAGAACATACTGGGTGAAAAACCGATTCACGACCACCTTACGGCGATAGACAGGCAGACAACAAGCTCATGAGTCCTGAGGGAAAGGGAAATATGCGGGCGGTGGTGGCGTTGGCCGCTGCAATGGTTTCAGTGCTACGATGACGATTAAATGGAGGAGAGGAGATAAGAGAGAAGAAGGTTTAGAAAGGGGGTTGCAGGCAACGGCGGCCGCAGACGACGGTCGCGGGCGGATGGCGGACTCGCGCTACTTCGCCCTGCTCGGTGTCCGTCCGTCGGTCCATGGGTCCGTGAATGGAACCGTTGCGATACAGCCGTTTTTGCTACCAATGCTATTACGACTACCCCTGCTAGGTTCGTCGCGGATCGTTTGTCTTAGAAGTGAACATGAATTCAAGTAGTGGTATAACGCCACTAGCCAGCCAAAGCGGCGATCAGGCCAGCAGCTGCCGAATCCAGCGTGCTGATTCTATTGTTTCATTTTCGTTTGTCACTACTGTTGGTGCCAGCTGCAGTCCACAGTGACGACCAACTGTTGGACAAGTCCGTCGGTTCAGCGAGCTGTTAAGTCGACTGCTGAACTTGGATTTATTTAACTCTAATCTAACGTCTATTCTGTCGTCCACTTCATGCTCCCATAGTTGGCGCGAGTACGGTCATCATCATCATCATCATCATCATCATAGTTACTAGGTTGCCGCCTTCGTCGCCCACTGTTCGCTCTGTTCAGTTCAGTATTGCCGACGTTCGTTGGCACTCTCCGTCGACAGTTCCAGTCGTGCGGCCGTTGTTGTCGCTGCTCGCCGCCACCGCCGCCATTTTGTGCGTGAGGAGTACCGCTCTGCGCTCCGCGTCGCCGCGGTTCCCCAAAACCGCGCCACGCCGGATACACAGCAACAACAGCCGCAGCAGCAGCAGCACAGCGAGCGAGTGAATGAGTGAGTGAGTAAGCCAGGTAGGCAATGGACGGCAAACGTAAACCACCGCTACGATCAGTACCGCCATTAGCACCGCGCTCGTATGGGCGCCGAGCCACTTTCTGATCAGTTGAATAAGCGGACGCAGAGCCAGACGAAGAAGCGCACCAGCATATGTGAACGGCCACTCTACTGTACAGAACGTAGCTCTATCCGAAGGCTATTAATTCTACCGCAGAAAGTAGAAAATAAAACGACACAGGGATAGAGTAAGAAAGGGAGAAAGAGGGAGAAAGGTACACGATATATGACTACCCCCCATTGTCTTCAGTCATCAATTAGCCGATTCTGTGCAATTTTACACAGTGTGACTTCTAGTGTTTTTGTGTTATGTTTCATCCAAGCTTTCTGCAGTGATGATACGGTGAAGTGAGTGCGTGCGTGCGTGTGTGCGTGCGTGCGTGCGTGTAGATGTTCGGTCATTATGTCAGCATTGACGTAGCGTTTTTCGGTTTGTTTCGTGCTCGTATTCAAGTGTTTTTCTCATTTTTTATCCGGCTCCTTTAGAGGTAAGTAAGTAGTTGTAAGTTATTATCTGATTGTCTAACGCTCTCCCTGGCTCATGCGTGAACATGTAGCTACGTTGCACTAACCATTACGTGTGTACGATTTATAAGTTATTCTGTGCGCCGGGTATCCTTTATTGAAAGAACGGTTGCTGGCAGAAGAAGACTTATTAGCAACGCCAATTCATGTGGGCGATTGCGCGCTCTGCTATTTGAAACAGCTTTTCCATTAAATCGGTCCCGTTCGGCCTGTACCTATTTTTTTTTCACTTTTTCGACCTACCCAAGGGTGTTACCCAAGCAAACTATTTCCTGTAGAATACCAGTTGGGAAGTCACAATAAGATTCTATATATGGATAACTTTATGAAAATGTTCCTCTATAATTAGCATTTACTTGATTGAAGACTTGCCAATGTTTGTGGGCAAAATCTGACAACTGACATTTTTTAGGTAGGTGCTAGGTCTGGACTCGAAGAGCGACATGTGTGAGGCTGTGGGTCCAAGTCCGTGTGCCTCATCGGATAAACGTAGACGTTTCTTTATCTTTTTTTTTCACTGTTTTTTTGAGTCTGTGCTAAAGCTAGCTTTTGTGTTTGAAGCTAACACTATCCTGTAGACCATCGTAACGTAGATATATATATATCGCTCACTACTAGATCCCGTAATTTGTGGTCCGCAGTAGACTGCTGCTACTCCTGCGACCTTTGTGAAGCTCGAGGCTTTGTGAGGTGCTGCTGTTAGTAATAGCACTGTCACCCCACCCCCTCCCTCTCCCCCGCTGCTCCCCACTCGGCTTAACCCGATGTCCGCCTGTCTCTCGCAGCTGCTGCTGCTCTTAAACCGCCTCTAGCAGCAGCAACATCAGCCCCGTCCGCTGTTACCGCCATCTCCGTTGCCGCCGGCGCCGCAACCGCTACGCATCGAGTTGTATCGTAACCGTGTGCACCCGCCCCTGTGCCCACTCTCTGTCCGACCGCCTGCCTGAACGCCGCGCTGCTGTTCACTGACGCATTCAGCACCATCAACATTCACACACCTACGTATGTACAAGCTACGTTCGTCTAGTCTATTCTACTCTACTTAAATATTGAGATACGACCATAGCTCAGCCAGGGCGGTGACAGGCACCATTGCCGCACTGATCATCACCACAGTCATCACCGCCATTTTCACTGCGTCCGTATTAGCAGTCCAGCAATTCCGCCAGTCTGAGTTTCAGCGTGCGTGTGTGCATGGCTCGAGTACTATTGACGCTTCGGTTCGTAGGCTTCTACGTTCTTCGTAGCGATAATGGCTAAGGTCCAGTCGTCCCAGCAGAGCCTTGGTTCAGGCTCTCGTTCGTTCGTTATCACTCTGTCATTCGCCCAGCCTTACGGTTTGCTCGGCCACCGTCCGTCCGTTCATCGCGTAACAACAGGCGGCGGATGTCCTCACGCAATAATGACTCATCTCATTCACACACACATGCACGCACATTCCGATTTATACTACTAGTACTAGTATGATTTCTATTGCTAATACCTCCACTATCAACACATTCGACATTTTTCGGCAACTTATCCGCGCCAACGTTCATTTCGCTCTACTGCTCGCCTGTTTACCGCCGCTGTTTCGTCGCAGAACTATTCTGCGCTCATTCGCCGCACGTTTTCCGTCGTCGTCAACGGTCGCTACCAGTTGCCGGTTCCGACCGGCCTCCATCCGCTCTTCGTTTACTCGCTGGCTTGAGGGTCGTTCCTTCACTCTAGCTGGTCGTCGTCCACCGCTTGTTGTCGCTGCTGTCGCTGTCGGGCCGTGCCCCCACTCTCAACATAATCCCATCCCCCCCCCGTTGCCTCCTACCGACAACAGTCGACCGGCCCCCCCGAAGTCCGCGCTCACTGCGTCGCGTAGAACGGCTTCAAGTCGCAGTCGCGTCCGATGTTGCTAGCGGCCGGCGGCAGCATTAGCACCGAGAGCAAGATCAGGCAATCAGCAGCAGCGCAGCCAGGCTGCCTGTTCACATGTCCTGCCGCTGTGCATGTCTCATGTTCACATGTCTCGGAAATGTGGCGGTGCCGCATTGCGACGAGCTGTTGTCGTGGTCTTTCGACGACGTTCGTCATTCGTCCCCGGCCAAATCCTTAGCAGCTGCAACGGCAACGCCAGCGGGGCGACACGATCCGACAACGGCAGCAGCAGCAGCGGCTGAGGCGATGATGGTCGCTTGGCGGTGCGCTAGTCGTAGTCGATCCCTGGTAGAGCGGGGCCGCTGTTGTCTCTCTCAGTCGGTCGCGTTCGGCTTCTTCCATGCGGCGCCGCAACGAGGTAGGGCGGGACCTGTGAAAGTGGCAGTGAGCGACTAGTGACGAAAAACGAGCAACGAACAGCAGTAGAAACAGCGAGAAAGACGCGCGAACCACCACGATCGCCATCGTCGTCGCTACCAATAACGGGTCAACCGCAGTAAACACTGTACCCCGCGCTGTACTATCATGTATGGCAGCATTGCTGGAATACAGCTGCGGGTTTGGCGGCGCTGGATTCAGTTACCGAGCGGCAGGGGCGATGGCGGCGCGGACGCTGACGCCGCGAACGCAACCGCCCTACCAGCCGCCGCAGT